ATTAGTTGTTGTTAGTTTACCATTTTTGTACACTCAGACATATGGCTTCAGAGGGTATATATCATTTGATACGGCCAAAGCGTGCCTCACCGAAATAAAAGTTTTAGAACCTAGGTCTATTTGGACCTAATCCGTTTCAGGGCATTTTGATACTAGCGATGTCCGTCCGTCCGTTCGTCTGTCTGGCTGGTGCGCACCAAACAACTCTTGAAGGGAGTATCCGATTTAAACTTGGTACATCGTAATATTATTGTTAAACTTAGATCGAGTTCGGAGTGCACCGATTTGCCGGGTTTACTCCTTCTGTTACCTCCACCACAAAATATCATCATTTTCAAAGAAAATAATTTACTGCACCGAAAGAGAAAGGATAATCCGATTTTGCTCTAATTTTGCAAATAATTATAACTCTTATAAAATGTGATATAAGGTTCCGATTGTCTTCAAATTACGCTCACTACAATATTTTTATCAACCCAGGGTCTGGTGTAAAGATGGAATATATAATTTTTGCTAACACATGATCTGTTCTGAAGATCATATACATCTGCGAACCCCTTCTGGTATCTCACCCACAAAGGGTCACTATTTTTAATACTTTTATCTGTCATAACTTGAGAAAAAAGTCAGCAATTCTTTACAACGAAATATTTTTCTCAACCAGGAACCTGAGATGAATATGGATATGAAGGTGTTCGATTTTCTTGTAATTTTGCCCATGCCACTATTTATACCCTACACCACACTGTGGTCAGGATACTATGTCCGTGTGCATTTGTTTGTAACATAGAGAAGGAAGTGAGTTAGATCCATAGTTACTTTTGATGATCTGCATAGAATCACATTCTGAGTCGATTTACGCATGTCAGTCCGTCAAAAAATATATGTTTGTCCAAAGGGTTCGTCCCTTTTGAAATTGGTGAGAATTGGTTCAAATTTAGATAGAGCTCCTATATATCTCTTCAACCGATTTCTTGTTAATTGTGCACTAAATGGCCAATATCAGTCCAAATGACCTACATTTTGGTACATCCAACCGTATTCAGTCTAGAAGCAAGTACATCAAATTTGGTGAAAATCGGTAAAGGTATAAATATAGCTCACACATATATATTTCATACGATTTGGTGCTTAAGTCCCTCACATTCGTAATATGCACCCAACAAGAATCATATTTAGTACCAGATATTAGATACAGCCCAGAATTACCTCTACCAAATTGTATCAAATCGGTTCAGATTCGTAAATAGCTCCCATGTATATCTTCAACTTATTTCGGGTTAATTATGCACCAAATGGCCAATATCAGTCCAAAAGTCCTGAATTTTGGAACATCCGACTAAATTCAGTTTAGAAGCAAGTACATCAAACTTGGTGAAAATCGGTTCTGAGATAACTATGGATCCCATATATATGTTTCATGGGATTTGGTTTTAAAGTCCCCCACATTCGTAATAGGCATTCGACAACAATGAGATTTGGTATCAGATATCTTATAGAGCTGTGAAATACCCTTGCCAAATTCTACCGAGATCGTCTAAGATTTTAACGTAGCTCCCATATATATCCTCAACCCCCGATTTCAGGTTTATTGTGCAAATAATGCCTAATATCAGACCAAATAGAGTGAATTTCGGAACGTGCATTTCTATTTGGTCGAACTCGGCTCCGATATAAGTATATATTTTTATGTTATTTGGTATAAAATATAAAAATGTCTTCGTCAAATTTAGTGAAAATCGATTCAGAATTGAATATCCCTCCCATATATTAGTTCCCTCTGAAACCAAATCGGTTACCATGGCAAAAAGTTTTACATTCTTGTCGTTTTGAAACAGAGCACCCATCTATAAAGGTATAATAATAGATAACAACCCATATAGCTAGTGCATTGAATTCCTGCATTTATCACGGCCAATCTAATTTGTCATACAATTTTGATTTATTGCAACAAATAAAGGTGGAAGTGCCAAATTTAATAGGCGGCTTCTTTTGTGGGGATAAAAGGGGCTCATAAAATGCAATTTATCAAAAAAATCAATCAAGTGATGATAGATTTGTCGCAAGTGCACAAATAAAAGGTGCATCAAGGACCAATATATAAAGGTGAACAAACTTTATGAATGGCACACGCTTAAGGAATATAAATCCCATTCAGGCAATAAAAAATTTCGGCACAAAATCGGTATATGATAGAGAATATATTTTGGAATTAAAAAATGTAATTTAGGCTCAACCAAATTACGCTTCCCTATTTTATATACTTCAATTACTATTTCCCAAGCAAAAAAAGCTTTTTCTCCCTCACAAGCTTTACAAACATGAACACAGTTAAGGGCGAAATGGAACTTAACGAATATTTTCGAATTAATTGAGTTGGGGGATGTTTCATACTAGACATGTGCAAGTGGAATATTTTTGTTGGGTACACATATACCTACACACAATCACACACATTTTCATTCATTACGACTTGTCTAGCATTAAATGTAGGATGGAGAACAAATATGGTAGGTATACAGAAATTGATTAGAAAAACATGCCTATGTCAACAAACAGAAGCACGCAGCCAATAAAATCGAGAGTAGGCAAAAAAGGACACATCAATGTCAAAGAAAACAAATGTTACCATAACTGAAATTCCGGAATTCCATTGGTTAAGATGGGTAGAGGTGACATTAGAAGGGCAAAATGAACAATCAAATAGAAATTGATCTCGGTTGGATGGAAAATTTGCTTTTTATGATATTAGAAGAACAAAAATGAGTTGGAAAGTATAAATCGATTTGCATATGACCGATTATATGCATAGATATCTGTATAACAAGTATCAAAAAATGCATTTTTTTAATTTTTAAATAAATTTTAAAAATCTATAACTTTCACATGGAAGTCCAATTTGGTCCAAACTTGGCACATTGTAATATTATTATCAAACTTAGATCATGGTCGGAGATGGGCAATAACTGTCCACTCCTTCTGGTACCTCCCCCACAAAATATAAACATTTTCAATGCACATGCACAGAAAGATTAGAGATACTCCGATTTGGCTCAAACTTTGCAAATCTCAAGATTCGCCTCAGTGCTAGGTTAGGTGAGAAAATGGACTATATCGGTCCACTCTATCAAGTACCTCCCCCACAAAGATTCAACATAATGAATAATTATAACTCTTATAAAATTTGATGTAATAGTCCGATTGTCTTCAAATTACACATATCACCATATATTTACTAATCCAAGGTCTGGTGTGAAAATGGAATATATCGATTCACTCCTTCAGGTACCTCCCCCACAAAGGGTGAACATTTTGAATATCCATGAAGCTAATAAAACGTGAAATCGACATCCGATTCCATTAAGACTTGGCACATTTCATTATTTCTATCAATACAAGATTTGTTTTAAAGATGGTAGAGATCGGACCATTCCTACTGCTACCTCCCACACAAAGGTTAAAATTTTGAATAATCACGACGATATTAAAATCAGAAATAAGTATCCGGGTTTCTTCAAATTTCACCCATCACAATATTTTTATTAACCCAAGGTGTGGTGTTAAGATGGGATATATCGGTCTACTCCTTCTGATACCTCTCCCACAAAGGGTCAACATTTTGAGTATCTATGAAAATGACATTCGATTCCATTCATACCTGGTACATCTCAATATTTCCATCTGTTATATTATATGTTATAAAGATGGCAGGGATCGCACCATTTCTTTTGGTACCCCCCCCCCACCACATGGGGCTTAAGATTTTGAAAAAACAAAACGCTCAAAGAAAGCGAAATAAGCATCCAAATGTCTACAAATTTCACACATCCAAATAAATTTGCTAACGCAAGGCCTGTTGTGAAGATGATATACATCTACCGCCCCTTCTAGTACCCAACCCACAAAGGGTCACAATTTCCAATACATATATCGTTCATAACAGGTTGGCGATTCTTTACATCTTACTATATCTAAATATGGTCCATTATTGCTCTGTTCCTGCGGGACGATTCGATAATTTTTCCATCCATTGGAACTTATCGAAAAATGGTCTTCACGCCTTAAATTTCGTAAATTCCAGTTTACACATTCCTAAAAATTTAATTCTCTGTAGTTTTCTATTTTGCGAATAAAACTTTAAGTAACCAAAAGATGACTCCACAAAAAAATATGGACACAATTGAAAGATTTTGATTCAATAAACCATTTTTCTTTAGTTTTCGCGACATCTCCGACTTCGAAGCGGGTTTTTGGCATCCATGTCTATGAAATTAAGTTTCTCCATTTTGGAGAATGTTAAAGGATTCAGCTAAGTGAAATTTTGAAATTATTTCTAAACATCTGAATTCATAAAATTCCTTTTTATAGTTCCTTTTGCAAAAAATATCTTCTATTGCTATTAAAAGTCAACTTAAGTTTGTTTATATACAAACTAGCGTAGTACATATAGAAGTATGCATGTGTATGTATATGTGTGTATAATTTTCAGTTTATCCCCAGATACCTACATTTTCACCCTCTACAAACAAATTAAGCTGAAATAACAAAAAAACATTTTCTTATGAATTCTATCATATACTAATAAATATTCTGCAAAAAATCATGTTTCTCATCTATTTCCTTCAAAATACTATCATAAAATAAACATTATTCCATTAAATAAATCATGAATTGCATTTAATTTCATTTCCCCATCACAAAATCAGCAACAAATGTGGCAACATTGCGCCACTGAACACACCAAAATACAACACTGAACACAGCAACGGCATTTCGTTGAATTTACTTCGTTAAAAGCCCCCCGCATTGTAGTGCTGTCCTCTTCTAATGCACTCGCATAAAATGCCGGCAAACGATAGCTAAAGTGAGAAGCTTTCTTTCGTTGTGTGTACGTTTGTGATTTGCACGAACGTCCTTCAACTGACATTGAAATACCCAACCCCCCGCTTTGCTAACTCAACGAAGATTCGTACAAAGTTGATGAGCGAAGAACAGTGCCGAACTGAAGCACAGTTTTTTCCGCAAGAGCAAGCTGTACGGTACGGTTGCAGAGAGACTTTCTGATTTTCCAGTTTTTCAAGTGAATAACCCAACAACACAGTAACAAACATGTCCAAAATCGGTATTAATGGATTCGGTCGTATTGGCCGTTTGGTTTTGCGTGCCGCCATCGATAAGGGCGCCCAGGTTGTAGCCGTCAACGATCCCTTCATCGATGTCAACTACATGGTCTACTTGTTCAAATTCGACTCCACCCATGGTCGTTTCAAGGGTACCGTTGCCGCTGAAGGGGGTAAATTGGTTGTGAACGGTCAGGCCATCACCGTTTTCAGTGAACGCGACCCCGCCAACATCAACTGGGCCAGCGCTGGTGCCGAATATGTTGTTGAATCCACTGGTGTCTTCACCACCATCGACAAGGCTTCTGCCCATTTCAAGGGTGGTGCCAAGAAGGTCATCATCTCCGCTCCATCTGCTGATGCCCCCATGTTCGTGTGCGGTGTCAACTTGGATGCCTACAAGCCAGACATGAAAGTCGTTTCCAACGCTTCCTGCACCACCAACTGCTTGGCTCCCTTGGCCAAGGTTATCCACGATAACTTCGAAATCGTTGAAGGTCTCATGACCACTGTCCATGCCACCACTGCCACCCAAAAGACCGTTGACGGTCCCTCCGGCAAATTGTGGCGTGATGGCCGTGGAGCTGCCCAAAACATCATTCCTGCTTCCACCGGTGCCGCCAAGGCTGTCGGCAAAGTTATTCCTGCCTTGAACGGTAAACTCACTGGTATGGCTTTCCGTGTGCCCACTCCCAATGTATCTGTTGTCGATTTGACTGTCCGTCTTGGCAAGCCAGCCAACTACGAAGCCATCAAAGCCAAGGTTTTGGAGGCTTCCAATGGACCCATGAAGGGTATCTTGGGCTACACCGATGAAGAAGTCGTCTCCACTGACTTCGTCAGCGACACCCACTCCTCGGTCTTCGATGCCAAGGCCGGTATCTCCCTCAACGACAACTTCGTCAAGTTGATCTCCTGGTACGACAACGAATTCGGTTACTCCAACCGTGTCATTGACTTGATCAAATACATGCAATCCAAGGATTAAATTGGGAGAAGTTAAAGAAGTATAATAATATTACATTTTAAGTAACAACACACGCTGCAAAGTAACATTTCTAGATGTAAAACCAAAAGTAAAACGGAAATTTATTCATGAAACAAGTTTACATGAGATGCTAAGACGCACATCATCAGACAGGAGCTGAGCATTTAGTTACCAAATACCCAATTCTAAACAAGATGAAATGTGGAAAATATTAGTGAGCTGAGCTTTCTCCCACTTGCTATTATTAATATGTTAACTATTACAAGAAGAACAAAACAACAACCAATCCACCTCCTGATACATCATCAATAGTTGAGATTCTCTGTTACTCGTTTCAGTAATTTAAAAATTATATTGATTATATTATTAGTAAACAACATATATTAAACACACACATGTTAATATAAATTAAAAAGAAAAAAAAAAATAAATGTTATAACAAAACATTACTAAAAAACAACAAAAAACATGTTTTTTCATACATTTTTTTTGCAATGTAATCATGGGCTGTTCTTATATAATCACAATTGCAATAGAGAAAGAAAAAAATTCCTGTTATACAGAGAAATAAAGTGGAAAATAACGAAAAGAATGGGGGAGGGGAGGGAAGATTGTAAATTGGTTCTCAGAGAGAAAGTCAGATATTCGAATATCTCCCACGTTTGAACTCTGGGGGAGCAATACAGAATATTGTTCTCACTAAAAGTGCTCCCCCAATTACATCAAAGAGAGCGGTCAATTGGCAGTTACATCATTTTGTTTATGCCAACATTTGCATATATATGTAGTATGGATGTGTTGTAGTTTTTTTTTTTTTTTTTTTTTGCATAAACAAAGAGATTAACTAAAAATACCGCCTTATTATTTAACAATAACATAAAGACAATAAAAGTTTTTCTTCTTATAAATGAGATGTTTGCCAAATTGTAATCTTTGGTCTTTGGCTTTTTAAAGAAACAATGAAATTGATGAATAGCAACAATACACCAGCCGCCCAATATCTTTATAAGGGGAATTCATTGATAAGCCACCAAATGTGGTAGACAAATTCCATGTAGTTATTTTTATCACCCACCTAATGAGTTTCTATATTGTGAAATATACTATTTGCCAGTAATTCTAACATAAAATTGTTTTGTTTTCTAGATTTGTAATTTGTTTATCGCTCGCACGATAAAAACAAAACTCCAAAGGCAAAAGGTCACCTTCCAGTTCGTCCGGTATTTGTTTTTTCTCTCTCTGTTGGTTTGTCACAAAACAAGTCATCATATCGCCACCGTTTATTTCACATGAAAATATAAAAACAAATCATCTCGCAAATTCCAACCTGGGACAGAGGTGTGGTGGAGGTCTCATCGCACATTAGCAATGTGTTGTCGTGTGTATAACTTTGTATACATACATATGATACGTTGGTTGCTTGGTTGGCTGATGGCACGTTTACTTTCGATATCAACGTCACAGCGGCTATATTTGTAGCACACCCCCTACCTACGTACCCTCATCTTGAAAGTGGTCTAAGAAACAAATGCAATGTGTGGAACCCATATAATTTCGTTTTCATTTATTAATTTTACATCATGCCGGTATCCCCCGCACCCCTACAAATAAATGTGAGTTGCCTGACTGGGGCAGATCTGTAGAGGGATGTTGATTTGGTACATTGAAGGAAAAAAAGGTCATTGAGAGTGAACGTTTTCGTCTATTCATGTAAGAAATAAATGCACAGGGGGCAATGAACGAGAATTACATTTTGTTTTCGAAATCTAAAAAAAGAGGTGTGTCGTCCGTACGCACCAAATGTATTTTTATCGAAACGGCAAAAAGATTATTGTTGGCTAACTGGTGAAATAAAACTTTGATATCGAACTTTGGTATAACAATATTTCACTGGAACATTAAGAATAGTAGAGTAGGGGGCTGGTTCTCAAAATATTTATGGAAAATTTTCGTAGGAAGATGAAGAAATGCTGAGAAAAGATCAAAAATATCCAACAAGTAAAATATTTTGTTGTAGAAAAACTGTAGCCTAGATGAGAAGGAAGATGAATACTCTCTTCTTAGTCCCTATTTCCTAAAAATTCTACGTTTGATGAAAATTTATAAGTATATATCAATAGATAAACGTAATGTTATATGGAAATTCTAATATCTGAATTCAAATTTTAATTTCAGTTCACATGTGGAAACTTTACATAAAAGAACCCCTGCAAAAGCTAAGTTTCCCTTACATCTTTCTAATTATATGTTAGAACCTATGAATAAAATCCATATTTATTTTATTCGTGGTCAGTATGAATACCTGAATTTGTGTTACAAAAATTGGTCCTCTTCAATTGTCTTAAAATAGATTGCTGCTGATGTCTTTACTGACAACTGTTTCATAAAATAAAAATGCAATATTATTGGGTATTTAAGGGTGGGAAGATTATGATGTAAGACATTTGCAAGCGACATTTAATTGAACGACCAACAATATCTTTGTTGGTTGGTGTTTTTTTTTTCTCGCAGGATAGTTCATTTTTTATACCTTATTAGAAAAGAGTGATAAAAAGCTTTTATTTCCAGACCATGGATATATTGAAGATTATAACGTAAGATATTTGTAGGCTGCATTTTATTAAACGACCCAAAGGGAATCTTTCCTAAGTAGGGCAAGTTGTATTGAGTTCAAAGAGTGGTTTATCTCGCAGGATATTTCAATTTTAATATTTGGATTTTGTTTTTTCAAGATTTTCGGCCTTTTAAATATTCGAAAATCTTTTGCCTTATGTCGGCGTTTAAAAAACGGCCCAGGCAAACCGGAAACTCAACATTCGTTCACTTATTCATTGGCTTCCTCTTATTGTCTCAAATGTTCTGAAAATTCGCAAGATATGGTTAATTATTGTCCTTTTTTTAAATATTTTATTCAATAGTCTTTTTTGTTTTGGTAGAAATTGCTAGTATTTCCTACTAATCCTAGTACTCCTACTAATTCTAATAAAAAAAAAAACTAAAACTAATCTAATTTTAAGACCTCCTCTCGGCATCATCACTGTTGGCGGGTATTGGTTTACCATCCTTGTCGTAACGTATGTGCAGTCCGTGTTTAATAAAACGGCCAGCGGCACCTTTGTCCAAAACCGGGCGAATTGTATTGCGTTCATAAATTTGTTTATCTCGCAGTATAGTTTGTCGCACACGGGATAGTTCATTTTTTATACCATGCTAGAAAAAAGTTTGCAAGTAACAACATTATTAAGCAGCTAACATCCATAGACTACACATATTTGATACACACCTCATTTGGATCTAATCCCTGCAATTTGACATACATCCAATACAGCGAATTAATTGAATATGCTAAATAATTGTCCAATTTTACACGTTCCTGTGTCGACAGTTCATCGTAATCCTTTACGCCACATGCCAACAGCAGATCTGCCTCAATCTTGTCCAAACTGGCATCGAAATTTTCCACGCAGTTAATGAATTTTTCATCATTTCGAAGCTCAGCATAGTCGCGGGAGGACATATTTCTATGGATATTGGAAGCTTGGTTTTATTTTCGTCGGGAATATGTGATTTTCTTAAAAAGTAAACAAGACCTAGCACGTTAGCTGCACCACACGAAAACAATGAAATGTTTCTTTGTACCTTAACATTCACAGTAAAATGATAGCAACAAGTAACTTGAAAAAGTTGTCAAAATAAACTTATTTGATGTTCACACGAACTGAAATTGTGCTCTTGGGGAGTAAATTGTAGCATTGAATAAAATATAGTTATTAAAAATTGTTATTAAAATCTGTTTCAGAAATGCAAGTATGTATATTTTTTACCATGATAACCGATATTTCCTTTATGAAATCGAAAAGAATATACAAAAATAGTAGATTTTTGTAGGGTTTGGAACAGAGAAAACATCACGAAGAAAATCAACTGTTGATTTAAGAACACTTCGAATTTAGATAAAAAATTTATAGAGCATTTATACTATTGAAGATTAATGGTTACTGGTAGTCGTCTGTTAAAACAAAAGTTCTTCAAAAGAGAACGGTTCAATGGAGACATTTTGACAATTCTTTCACTGAGAGTTTGTACATCCATGCTAGACATATATCTCCATGCAACTCTTCTTCTTCTCCTGCCAGTGATTTATATTTCGGCAAGCAATTTTAAAACATCTTTAAGGATTGAGATTGAAGGCTAAAACTTTGCACACGTATGTATTTTGTCAGTAGGTATGTTAGGTTCCTAAATGGACTACGACGATCCACGTTTTCGTGTAGGTCCATATAACGGTACCTCCCGATATTCGGTATTTTGATGATTCTAGCACTATTATTCATTCGAATTGTTTTAAATTTCGTATTTGAAGATCTTACTTATACAAGTATAGCCATATAACGATACCATCGTATACCCCCATATAACGGCACCTCCCGATATTTGGCATTTTGATAATTTTAGCGACATCATTCACCCGAATTGTTTCAAATTTCATATTCGAAGTTGGTATACAGGTCTTCATATAGACCCCATATAGCGGTACTCCCCTTTATTCGGTATTTTCATGATTCTACCGACATTATTTGCCAGAATTGTTTTAAGGCATGTTTACGTTAGAGCTTTTTTTCCGGGTTAACCTTCGTCATGAAGATTTGTTTGAGGTATATGCAATGGAATTTACAATTTAAACCGACTGGGTTTTCTAAATCCTTTACAGCGTAAACGTACTATTAAACTTGGTATTTGAAGATCTTAATAGGTACAACAGCCTAGGACAAAAAATTACTTATACAGGTCCACGTTTTCATGTAGCCTTCTTATAAAGGTCATCATTTAAAAGATATTTTCGGTACTTATTTTGAAAATTTTCATGTTCAATCCAAATGGCTATTAAAGCTGCTTTTTTACTTCTCTTCAAAATTATTGAAATTTGTAAAAATTCTGGAAAAATTTATATTATAACAACCACCGATTTGCGTCGTATAAGAAAACATTTAAAAATATACTTATTTTTGATAATACATTTTAAAAATTTTGACATTTTGAATTTTTGATAGTTTCCAATCAGTTGTGTTGTCCCATAATAATTGTTAAATGATGCTTATGCCATGTTTACGTTAGAAGTTTTTGTAGGGTTAACCTATTTTGAGAGGATTTATTTGAAGTAAAAGTAATGGATATGACAATTTAAATCCAAATCCAGTGGGTTAACTCTCATATATATAAACGTACTATTAAGCTTGGATCAACTAGTTAGTACGTGTAAACATGGCATTAGTTGAAATAGTTAACATGACTGATGTCAGATGCCATTACACAACCAGCTGTGTGACATGTTTATCAAAAACCAGATGGTGTTGTGTGTGGCCCCCCTTTAAGTGAAGAAGAACAAGCATTGTATTTATTTTGTGTTTTTTTTTCGCATCGAAAATATTTGGAATGTTTTGCTAACAACGCCCAAGGAATCTAGGCAATGTTTAAGGAAAGCTTTAAATACTACAAATCAAAATGGCCTGTACCCGATTTTAAGGATGTCATAAATTTTTCGGGCCAAGGAAGTGATGAAGAGGTGCATTATTGCAGTACACTTTGCAAAGCAAATCTATTTTTATATTCCTTTTTTATTCTTTATATTTTTATAAATTATTCTATACTATTGGTTGCGTTTGCAGAATAATGCATAATCCCCGTCATTCCAGGTGAAGGAGATCCATTTGAGTGATTGTGAAGATTTTGCTTCCTTGGGATTGCCTTTGGGCTTGCAACCAGTACACCACTGGAAATTGTTTACATTAAATAATCGACCAGGTTTGGTGGTAATACGTCATGCTTTCACAGCACAAGGACAACGCTATTGGATGGCACGAAGCCTGCGAGATTATCCGCGTACACCGAATCGGGTAAATTTAAATGAACGTTTATTTCAAAAGTCCGTACTCGATGACTGGTGGTCTTCGCTGCAAAATTGTGCGGACAAAGATGAGGCACGTAGAATGAAAATATCCATGCGATGGACAACACTGGGCTATCATCATGATTGGGATACAAAGATTTACAGTGAAGAGTTGCATACCAAGTTTCCAGAAGATTTGGCCAAGCTGAGTAAATTCTTTGCCTCGGTACTTGGATATAGTTTCTATGAAGCACAGGCGGCAATTGTAAACTATTATCCCATAGGCACAACATTGGCGGGTCACACCGATCACTCGGAACAAAATCTAGAAGCACCGTTGTTTTCAATAAGGTAGGGAAGATAGGAAATTAGGTATATTTTTACTCATATTTTTTTTTGTTTTTTTCAGTTTTGGACAAACGGCCATATTTCTGATAGGCGGTCAAACTCGTGAGGAAAAACCTACTGCATTGTTCCTGGAAAGCGGTGATGTGCTGGTCATGTCCCGAGAATCACGCCTATGCTATCATGCTGTACCGAGAGTAATGAAGGCACGAGAGGAGACATGGAATACTCTCATAGAACCTCCGTCTAAATCATCCAAAGAATCTAGTCTAGAACCCCCCGTACAACCAAACAAACGTTTACGTACCGAAGTTCCATGCATAACTAGCACTGACACCCAAGCGGCCTTGGAATGGGGTATGGACCCCATACTGTATCATCAGGTGACCGACGACATTTTTTGGTCACCCTTTAAAAGTTATTTACACGATTCACGTATCAACATTAATGTGAGGCAGGTGCTTTACGAAAACCAAAGGACATTAATTGATGATATTTGTGGAAGCTGAAAGTGGATTTAGGGCGCCGTTTGTTTTATTGCAATATTTGGGTCTTGTTTGATGGCAAATTTATTTTCATATTTTGTGTAAAATATGTTTTGTGGACAGAGTGGAGAGAAAAATCCCTAATAAAGGTTTTTATAAGAAGTTGAATACCGGGCGCTGCCTTACATGTGTTTTCGTTTTTTAGTTAATGGGAATTGTGCCACCGATAGCATATAAGGTCGTGTTGCATGCTGGGAATGGGAAGGCATCAAATGGCAAAGGGCCAGAATGTCACAAATGTTTGTTCCAAAAATCAAAGGCCATAACCATTTTCCTAGAGAACTCGATTGCAGTAATAAGTCCGTTGATGATCGGGTCTTGAGCTGCTTTGGAAAATGTTGTTTGTAGTTATTTTTTAAACAAAGAGTTGTTATAAATTAAAATTTACTTACGACATCAATATTCTTGCTCATTTTTAACTATTATTATTTTTTTAATTTTAAGACTTTCTGTTTGAAAACAATTTTTTTTAAGTCAGCAGTACTTTTGAATGTTTTTTACACTGCCGAGTGACAATATTTCAAATTTTATTAGGATGAACTAAACAATCAAGAAATATTGGTTTTTTTTTTAAATTTTCTGAGACATCTTGAATGAAGGCATATTTTGAAAGGTAATTATTTTTTTCTTAATTTTAAGACATTTTGTTTGAAATGAAATTTTTATTTTTTTTAAGTCAGCAGTACTTTTGAATGTTTTGGATACTACCGAGTGACAATATTTCAAATTTTATTGAGATGAACTAAAAAATAAAGAAATATTCGTTTTTTTTTTTTTTTGAAATTTTCTGAGACATCTTGGGTGTAGGTATTTTTAAGGACCATGGTACAATAAAAAAGGTAAGTTAGAGCTACCAGATGATTATAATTTTTATTAAGTCCGCCCGATTTCTGCCAATTTTGTGTATGTACAGGGTGAGATGAAAAAACTGCAACCATCTTGGGCACGCAAACATTTAGGCCGCAGACCTTGGACATTCCAACAGGACTCAGCACGCGCCACCCAAGAATGGTTACAAAATGAGCTTCCGTTTGAAGGCCATAATTCGTGCCAAAGATTACCAATTCGAACAAATCTAAACTTATTCTAAAATTTGATGCCATTTCCGACATTTTTTGCTTTCATTCGATCAAACTTAAAGAAATTTAAAAACTATGGCGTTTGACTTTTTTTGCAGTTTTTTTAATCTCACCCTGTATATGAAAAATCCATGGGTCAGCAACATTTCTCAATAGAATATGATATTCTCTAAATTTGAAAGACGAAGATGAGATCTTCTAGATTTGAAAGACCTCTAAAAAGCCTTATGAAGGATTCATAGCAAGTCTTCTCTCTGCAGAAACTCCAGAAGATATTTTATCCATAGAAGTTCCATAGGAACCCAAGTTCGTTTCGTTTTTATATTAAAATGTTGGGTTTCCAAATTTCCGACTCTTGTCGGTAATTTAAAAAAATTAATTGGAAAGTCGCACTACAGGTCTGTCAAAGAACCTATGAAAAGTATGTTTTTCTGTCAAAGGGACCTATAAAAGGCATTTTCTTTATGCAAGGCCCGTCGAATACAATAACCTATGAAAAACATTTTTTCTAAACGAGACCTATTTGAGTTGCTCTATTTTAAGAATTAAAATAAGTATTTTATTTATGAAAGACCTATTACAGATCTTCCAGATCCATGAAAAATCTCGAGAAGATATTTTATCTATGCAAGGTCCATGTAACACCTATAGGTCCTCTATCCCGGCAAGGTCTTTAACCTATAGAAGATTAACAAAAGATCTTTCATTTAAATACGATCTATAAAATATTCTTATACAGAGAATATCTTCTTTCATCCATTGAATACCTACTGCAGATGATTAGATTCGAATTGGTCAACAGTGTGAATAATCATGAAATAAAAATGAAGTGACCTTTACATCATACATCTCCATTTCGTAACCATATAATTCACTTTGCTTTTCTGTTGTCTGTTTACCGCAAATGATAATCAATCGGCAAAAGTTTTGAACAAAAATAATCCCTTCAGTTATCCCCCTGAGATGAACTTTACATCATAGACCATCATTTCATCCTATAAAAATCGATTTTCCGTAAAATATCTTTAATTTGCTTTTAAGTTTTGAATAAAAAAAAAAAAACATTCCCCTTGAGCCAGCAGTTCATTCCCCCCTGAAATAAATCCATAAAAAAAATATTTTGGAATCAAAATTAAAACAACTACCACAGAAATTTCCTATATATTTTTTTCATTTCTTTTTATTATTAAATCATACGGTTTTTGTCCTTGTTTTTCAAAGTTGGTTTGTTTTCTTTTCATTTTAATTTTCTGTTCATTTCTTTTGCTGTGGTTGTTGGATTTGGTTGGTGTGTGTGTGGTTTTTTTTGGAAATATTACAATTAAATTACAGGAATATAAATATGCGAAAAAAGTGGGGGTTTCGGGGTTGGTTGTTGGATTCTTTTGCATTAATAATCAAAAAATGAATGTTGTTGGATTTGTTGTTTTGTTTGTTTTAATAATTGTATATATTTTTTGTGGTTTTCTTTTTAAACTTTTTGTTTTTCTTGTTTTTCTTTTTGTTTATAAATAATCGTAAAGCTACTTAAACATAGTTGATTTTTTGTTGTTGGTTTTTCATTTTTGTTTTTTAATTATAATTTAATAATATATATGATTTTTTTGAATGTTAATTTGTTGGTTTTTTGTGTTTTTGTTTTATTTATAGAAATATTATTTTCTTTTTTGTTTTTGTTTTAGTTTTTTGCTTTTTTTAATATATATGCATTATAGTAATGAATATATATATATGTATATTGTATGTTATTTGTTTGTATATTTAATAATTGATAGTTTATGTATCATTTGAATTTGTTGGTTTTTTGTTTTTATTATTTGTTGTTAAAGAGATGTGGAGAATTCTATTTTATAAAAAAAAACTACTAAAAATTTTGTCGTTTTTCTTCTGGTTTTTGTTTGTTTTGTTATTTTCTACAATGTATATTCATTTATATATAACAGTATAAATTGTATTTATTTATAGCAAATTTGTTAACATCATTTGATTTTTTTTCTTTTTGTTTACGTTTCTGTATGCTTTATCTCCTAGTTATGTATATATATATATATATAAAAGACGAGGCCTAAGGACCAGGCTATGGAATTGTGGAGAAGGGAGGAAAAGGATTTTGTTTCATTGTAGGGAGGAGGAAAGGAGAAAGTAGTCAGTTTTTTATTTGTGTGTGTTTTTGTTTTGTTTCTTTTTTTTTCTTTATCATTAGAACAACATTTAGTACATGATATAATATATATAAATAAAATAATAATAATCGTAGTAATAATAAACTATACAAATAATACAAATGCTCTAATTATGAAGCGTCCTATTCACTAGTAAAAAAAATATATAATATTATTTATAGTAAAAAAATAAAATAGTTTTTGTTTTGTTTGCTTTGTTATATATGCAGTTATATATATATATAAGTTTAAATATATATATAATAATATTTACCAGACCAATAAAATGGTATTGGATTTATATTTTTTGTAATAATAAAAAGTAACACATCGCGAGTGTATACTGAAAATGTATCTCTTCTTCTTTTAAGGGAAATCAATCTAAAACGTAAAAGTTTTGAAAGACTATTTTGAATATTTTGGGGTTTTTTTTAGAGTAAGATATTTTGATATATTGCTCACGGATATATGATGATAATGTGAATCTGAATTTATTTGAAAATAATTCATGGTGTCATAATGTTTTGATGGTGGAAAAAAAGGTGCCTAAACTTTGGAAGGATAGAAAACAAACAATTAAAATACAATAATTAATAGAAAAAGATTAACTATTCATCATCTTCAGGTCATTAAAAATAACAAAAACAAATATGAGACATAATTTAAAATAAAAAAATCCTTTGATTTCCTCAAAAATATTATTTTGTCAAGTATTTATGAAAAATAAGAGCTCACACTGAAAGTCTCATTTGAAAAAAACGAAGAGAAACATCACTCTCGGGCAAAATAATGAATGAGACATTCTTAAGAGAATTTTGAATTAACTTGTCTGTTGTTGAATTTTAATTAATTTCATAATTTTTAAACAAAACTAGTCTAAATTCGGGCGGACCTGACTTTATAATACCATACACCACACTTTGCATATTTAGTAGAGCTTTACATAACAAATAAAAGTTTTTTTTTTTGAATAGGGAATTTGTGAGAACTAAATCATACCAAAAAAAGATTACCTATTGATCCTCTTTCTATGTATATAAACTCCCAGGTCATCAAGAATAACAAAAACAAATACGAGACACAATTTAAAATAAAAAATCTTTTGATTTCCTCAAAAATATTATTTTGTCAAGTATTTATGAAAAATAAGAGCTCACCACTGCTGCTCTTATGGCAAACACTGAAAGTCTCATTTGAATAAAACGAAGAGAAACATCACTCTTTCCATGGATGGGCAAAATAATAATGGAGATATTCTTAAGAGAAACTTTTGAAATAACTTGTCTGTTGTTGAATTTTAAATAATTTAATAATTATTAAACAAAACTAGTCCAAGAAAGTCGGACGGGCCTGACTTTATGATACCCTACACCACACTTTGCATATTTTATAGTTATAATTAAAAGTCTAAAGGAACTAATATATGAGAGGAATATCCTCCTCTGAAATAATTTCTACTAAATTTGCCGAGGCATTTTGTATTCTTTTGAATTCGGTCTTGTATTACCCATTTGGAGCACAACTAACTTGAAATCGGATAAAGATATATATGGGAGCTTGTAACGGATTGCATATTACGGCCGTGAAGGAAAAATTCAACAAATCGATGAACAATATATGTGGGAGCTATAGCTATATCTGAACCGATCTTCGCCAAATTTGACGTACTAGCTTCTAGACTCAATTCGGTCGTAAATTTCAATTTTCATCCCACTTGGGCTTATATTACACGTTTGGTGCACAATAAAAGGTAAATCGGACGAAGTTGTATATGGGAGCTATATCCAAACCTGAACCGATCTTGATAAAATATATCAAATATTCTTTTGAGCTTTATTTGATATATTTCCCCAAAAAATATCGTTGTTACAGAGTGCTTATTACGGCTGCGGGGGACAAAAATAACAAATCAGATGAAAAATATGTATGGAAGCTGTAGCTATATTTGAACCGATTTCCATCAAATTTGGCATACTTGTTTCCAGGCCTAATTTGGTTATACGTATGCCATTTGGGCTAATATTACTCGTTTGGTGCACAATAAAAAGCAAATTTGACGAAGATATATATGGTAGCTATATCTAAATTTAGGCCGGATGTCTCCAATTATAATAGGGTTCGTCCTTGGGCCAAACAAATGATTTGTGCAAAAATTCATCTGAATCAGTCAATAAATGCGACCTGTACGGACGGTCATACATAAACCGACTCAGAATGTGATTCTATGCAGATCATCAAAAGGAACTATTGGTCTATGTCCTTACCTTTTGCCTGTTACAAACAAATGCCCAAAGACATAATACCCTGAGCAGCGTGTGGTGTAGGGTATAAAAAAGGAAACAAAGAAATAAAAAACAATAAAAATGCTCACAGCAAAAGATCGATGTAAAAAATACAATTATGCAAAGTCAACAATTTCCTATATTTTAAAGTCTATTAAGACGTCAGAAAATCTCCTTTTATTGAAAGAATATTTGGGGTTGGAAAAAATGTGGACATATTTTTACTCACAATACAAATTTGGAGATGTCTCGAAGTGAGCATGTTTTGCTGTTTTGCAAAACGCAAGAAATTCTAATTTAAATACCTGAAAAGGTGTTTGTCTAATATGACAAAAAGAAGGGGATGAGGAGGCGAATCCATGGGTAATAGAAATTTAGATTTTTTCTTGGCAAGATTTTCAAAATGTCTAAGGATCGAATAAACCATATATTTGTTGTTACAAATATTTAAAAAATAAGAACATTTTTGTGGGAATACTAACGATTCGATTTTGAAAGCAAAAACAATTGAAAACAAAATTGACAAAAAGAAGTGGTAAGTAAACTAAAGAGGAATTGAAATTTAAAAGTAGAACTGATTAGCTCTTTTTTTTGGCAGACATTTGAGGGAGCTACTTTTTCCTCACCATAAAAAGAGTGAAAAATAAAAATTTAACCAAATTTCTGCCACGATTTTAGGGTATAAATTTTGAAAGCAAATGCAACTCTACACTTAATTAAACGCAATTAAAAAATATATAAGTAGAACAAATTATCTCTTTTTTGGCAGACATTTGCGAGAGCTATTTTTTTCCTCACCATAAAAGAGTGAAAAATAAAAATTTAACCAGATTTCTGGTACGATTTTAGAGTATAAATTTTGAAAGCAAATTCACAAAAGAATACATTCCTCTACAACTATCTTTGTTTTGAAACACACAATGTACACCACAAAAAAATTCACAACACTCTTCTATAGCAAATTCAAAATTTATAAAAAATAGATTGATATTTTCATTTTTCTATTTTTTTTTAAATTAAAAAAGATACATTTTCATGCTTACACTTTAGAGGTGTAAATATTAAACATAGTTGTTTTGCTTTTGTTTTTCTTGCTTTCGTTTTGTTTTGTTTTTTTTTTTTCTCATTCTTACTTAAATATATATGTATATAGTATATATATAATATTGCATACATGTTCAATATATACTTTGTTAATTTGTTTTAGCTTTTTGTTTTTTTTTCCTTTTCAGTTATAAACAATTACAAGAGTGTTTTTGAGTTTTGAGAATATCATCTTCATAGTTTTTTTTGTTTGTTTGTTTTGGAATTTAATAGTCAGTTTGTTTGTTTTTTTTTTACAATATATTCTAAGGATAACACAAATAGAGAAAAGAAAGAAAGAAATAGAGATAGTAAAATATTTTAGAATGCAATTGGTTTGTTTGTATGAGAAGATAGGAGGAGGTTGGGGTTTTAAAATAAGTTTAATAATAAAATTTACTTTTATACAAGTTTTGTTAGGTTGTTGTGTTTTTTTTTTTGGTTTCTTAAAAAAAAAGAAATAAAAAATAAAAAGTGAAACACAATAATAAACTAAAAGGGGTGGAGGGAGGGTAGAAAATACGAAAAAGGTATGCACAGTTTAGATTTCACAATGAGAATAAATTTTTCTCATTTGTTGGTATTTTAGTTTTGTTTTTTTTTTTTTTATAATACAAATTGTTTGTTGGTTTTCTTTTAAAGATTACTTGGTCTCATTTCAAGCTGGTTTGTTTTGATATTTGTTGTTGTTTTTTTCCTATTCGTCGTCTTCTGCTGTTACTTTTTACACGAAAATGCCGCCCGCCCTTCCTTAGGTTAGGTTAAATCAATGACATCTCTTTTGGCCGCAGCACATTTATCAATTTATCATCGGCCTGGCGGATTATTTCCTGGATTTGCTGCGGAGGGTGCCATGCCCATTACCGTTTGTGACGATCCACCACCGCCGGGCTCTTCTTTCTTGGGTTGCATCAGGGGATCCACTACCATGGGATGGGGCATGCCTCCCAGGGTGGGTGGTGGTTTACCGCTCAGTGATGATTGGCTGGGCACTGGTGGTCCACCTGGTCCGGGTCCCATTGATCCTGGCGGTGGTCCCAGCGGTCCCGGTTGTAGGCGATGGTGCGGAGGTAGTGGCGGACCCAAAGGCCCACCCACGGCTGAAGGTGGCGGTATTGGTGATGGTTCTTTTCCACGTAGATGGGCCGCCGATTGCACTGCATACATACTCATGGCTGCCTTGTGACGTTCCTCTTCATGTCGCAGTGCCACCTCCATCAGGGGATTATAACGTAAGGCCGACATGGCATAGGGGTCACGATAGGGATCCATTGGCCAACCAGGACCTGGAGGGCCAAAATGTGTCATTGGTGGACCACCCAGGCCCGGCGCCATCATAGTTCTTGTTAGATGTGGAGGTGGTGGACCCACATGGGGACCATGACGACTGGCCATAAAGGAGGCATGATGAGCGGCAGCCGCTGCCGCAGCATTTGCCTGGGCGGCCGCCAATGAATTATGATAACGAGGATCAGCCGCTGCCGCAGCTGCCGATGCTCTCATCATCATGGCATCTTGTTCTTCTTTTGTTCTGGGCATTTCCTCCTTGATACGCATCTCACCACCCACCGGACCACCAGGGCCTCCCTGCATATCTGTGACACTACGATGTGGTGAACGTTCTCTAGCCTGATTCATGGCTGCTGCGGCTGCCGCCGCCTGTGACAATTTGTTGCTTTCGTTAATGCGCTGCTGTTGCAACATACGTTCACGTTCCATTTCACGACGTTCCATTTCTCGTCGTTCCCTCTCTTTGCGTTCACGTTCTCTTTCGCGTTCACGTTGCTCACGTTCTTGCTGTTCCCTCTTGAGTTTCTCCTCTTTTTCTTTGCGTTCACGCTCCTCACGTTCTCGTTGTCGTTGGCGCTCACGTTCTCTTTGTTCGCGTTCACGCATTTCACGTTCACGTTCCTCAGCCTCACGGCGGGCATCCAGGGCTGCGGTGTCGGGTTTCATGGGCCAACCAGGAGCTCCTGGATGATAAGGCACAGCGCGTTGTTGTAAAGCAGCTCTGTTGTTGGGGTGGGGGGAAGAGAAGTTCGGAGATTTTGGTTATTTAATTTCGTGTTCAATTGTTGAGAGAGACAAAAAGGTAAAAACAAAATACTTACGCTCTCCAAGTATCGTGTATTGTACCACCAAGTGGAATTTCTCTGCCGAATGGCGATAAACCAAATCCAAATGGTCCAACATAGCGGCCGAAAGGAGAAACTGCAGTACCTAGAAACAAGAAAACAACATATTTAACATAAGGAGGTTTTTATGGAGTAAGGAAAGACTTTTTTAAGAAATGTCAAGGCATTATTTTTGGATTGTGGACTGTCATGGCAATTGCATTCACGGATTTTGGATTTTTTCGAGATCTGTCAAGGATATTTTTCGTGGACTTTTGAAGAGATTTGTTTTATTTTTGAAGGGGATTTTTCTATGACTGTTAAGGATTTTTCAAGAGACATCTCTCGTGGATTTTTGGGGAAGATTTTTTCAAGGACTTTTGAAGATCTGTTCAAGACAATATTCGTGGACTTTTAAAAAAGTTTTTTTCATGGGCTGCCAGTCAAGCCAATATTCGTGGACCTTTAACGATTTTTTCAGGGATAGTCAAGGCAATATTCGTGGACTTTTAAAAAAAGTTTTTTTTTCAAGGACTTTCAAGGCAATTGTCATCTTTTTTCGAGGAAATTCTTTTCATGGACTGTCAAGCCAATATTCGTGGGACCTTTGAAGATTTTCTTTAGGGATGGTCATGGCAATATTCGTAGACCTTTGAAAAAATTTTTTCAGGGATGGTCAAGGCAGTATTCGTAGATTAAAAAAAAAAATGTCAAGGACTGTCAATCCAATATTCGTGGATTTTTAAAAAAGTTTTTGTCAAGGACTGTCAGGCCAATATTCGTGGACCTTTCAAGATTTTTTTCAGGGCAATATAATATTTTTTCAAGGACTTCAAGGCAATTGTTATCTTTGTTCGAAGAGATATTTTTCAAGGATTGTCCAACACAATATTCTTGGACGTTTGAAGATTTTTTCAGGGACGGTGAAAGCAATATTCGTGGACTTTTAAAAAAGATTTGTTTAAAGACTTTCAAGGCAATAGTCATAATTTTTCGAATAAATTTTTTTCAAGGATTGCCCAAACAATATTCTTGGACGTTTGTAGATTTTTTTCGGGGGACGGTAACTTTTGTCATAAGCCATTACAATATTTAAATGCGAAACCTAAAAAATCGGTGAATACTGTCGCTAAAATCATCAAACTACCGAATATCGGAAGCTACCATTATATAACGGCTACACGAAGACGTGGACCAGACAATTTTCTGTCTTAGGCTGCAGTATCCATTACGAACTTCAAATACCAAATTTGAAACAATTCCGGTGAATATTGTCACTAATATCATCAAAATACCGAATATCGGGAGGTAATGTTATATGGGGGCTATACCAATACGTGGACCTACATGGACCATTTTCAATACCAAATATCCTGCAGACATAGTATACATTTGTGTAAAATTTTATCAATCTACTTCATTTCGTTCGGAAGCTAGAGTGATTTCCACAGACGGACGGACATCGCTAAATCGACATAGAATTGTATGCTTTGTGGGGTCTAGAATATATATTTCGAGGAGTTACATACGGAATGACAAACTTAATATACCCTTCATACTATGGTGGAGGGTAAAAAAGGATTTTTCAAATACTGGCAATTGTTGTTTTTTTTTCAAAAGATAATTTTCAAGGGCAGCCTAGGCAATGTTCGTGGACCTTTGAAGATTTTTTTATTGATGGTTTTTTTAAAGACCTTCATGGTAATATTCACGGATTTCTGAACACGTTGAAAAATACAAGCCAAAGAATTCTCTTTTTTTTTGGGAACATAGTTTGAAGAGCTCCTTAGGGCCGCGATTCTAAAAAAATTGTCAAGGACTTTTTTATATCATCAGACCGACCGACCTTCTACTCTAGAGGATATTTAAGAAAAAAATAAAAGATATGAAAGCTTCTGCTGTTATCATATTTCACATACCTATATGACTGGGTGGTGCCCCAATGAAACTTGCGGACAATGGCGAAGTTTCAAACGGTGAACGTCCCGGAAGTGCTGAAGCATAGGCTGAGGGTGGCAATTCTCCCGGCCTATGCATAAGATGTGGTGACGCACCCGCACTTAATGTTAGGGCTGGCGATGCCTTCATACTTAACGATGACATGGCCGATGGTGAGGGTCCAGGAGCACCCAGTCCGGATGACACAGCTATACTGCTCTGCGAAACTGTGGTGGATGTGGGCGTGACACTAGCACTACTATTACTATTTGCTGCAATACCAGGAGTCGATGGATTACTACCCGATCCCGGTCCCAGTGTGGCCGAACCCGAAGAGCTTAACTTATCGGGATTCTGTTTGTTCTGATGATAGTAAATTTCCCACGCTATCCGTACATGCATGGCATTCCAGCGACCAGTTTTCTGTAGAAAAAGGGGAAACAAAAGGAAGGAAGGTTAAAAATCAATTAAGTCAATTTATCCCTCCCCATAAGGGAGAGGATATATAAAAATTAACTACTAAGAATTAGTTAAATCTGGAATTGTAAATAAAAATGATCAAATGATGAATGGATAGATAGGTAGATAGGAGGATGACATGACATACCGTAAACTTAATAGATTTTGAGGAGGATTCAACAATGTTGGTTGGCAAAGGCGGTTGAGATTGTTGATGTGGATTATTGGAGGAAGGCGTTGGTTGTATCGTCTGTGTGAGTGTGTGTATTTATTGGGTATATATGTATGTGGTGGTTGGATGGATGGATTTAATGAAAATATGTTATGTGATCATGACCATGAAATGAAGTTATGAAATAAAGAATGGTTTAATTTTTTCTTTTTGGAAATGACATGATGGGTACATTGATGCAGAGAAAACGAATAGTCAACCTACCTTTGGAGCAAATGATGTTAAATGGCTGGGTGGCATGAAAGGTGTGGCCCCACCCAAACCGGGATGCATTAAACCGGCCGGACTATACCCAGCATAACCGGGCAAACCAAGTCCTGTGCGATAAAATGGCGAGTCAACGGCTGCAATTTTGGGAATGTCTTTGAATAGAGGCGGAGGAAAGAGGGGAGCCGGCGCTGGCGGTGGAGCTGCTGCTAAAGCCGTTGGCAAAAGTTGCTGATGCTGATGCAGATGTGTATGCTGATGTTGATGATGATGCAATTCTTGCCTTAGATAGGGTGATGGCACTGCTGCTGTGGGTGCATGTGGAACGGGGGCCGTTCCACTGGTTATACTACCGCTACTCGATGTAGGCGGCGTAGGTTGGGTGTGAGCCGGCGAAGCATTAGATCTGACCGAGGGCGATGCTGCTGCTGCTGCTGTCGTGGTACTACTCTGGCCACTGGTCGATGATGAGCCACCATGGCCAGACGGCTGTTGTTGTTGTTGCGTATTAAGATCCAGGAATCTGTTATCCAATTCTCGTCTCAATAGATCGGCTTGAGGATCTGAAAACACTTATAAAATTAAAAAAATCTACAGAAAAACAAGCAACCACAAACTTACTTTTACTAGGCTGGAATAGCGACTCCGCCGAAAATGGATGCGGTGCCGAACTTTGGGTCGTTGTTGTTACCGGTGCACTGTTCGCCGCTGTTGTTATCATTGCTGTCGTTGCTGTAGGCATGGATGCTGCTGACATTGCCGAACTCACGGCCAGTGAACTGCTTATGGAACTTATTGGCCCACCCACCATGGCTGAAGACACCGCCGGAGGAACTGTTGGCATTGGAGGCACAAAATATTGTGGATGGAATCCACTACCAGGTGCTGGTATTGTTGGAGGCGGTGGCTGTGTTGGTGCCACCAAGGCCGATGAGGAATGCATTGTTGCTGTATGCGGTGAAACCGATATGGGTGGCTGCATTCCCGATGACGAGGAACCGCCAGCCGTAGATGTGGCTGCCACACTGGGTGGCGGTGGTGTGGGCCTCGTGGCCAAACTAGATGGATGTGAGGTAACTGCTGATGTCGGAGGTGGTATTGACAATGAGGAGGAACTGCAAAGAAAAATCGCAAATTAATTAATACTCAAGTCCGAGAAAAATTCGTATCTTCTTACCTTGGAGGCGGCCACATGGAGTGTTTTGGAGCACCTGGGTATGCTATACTACCCGGTGGATGTTGTGGCAACTGTTGAGATGTCATCATGGGCATACCGCCTGCCGCAGCATATGTTGTTGTAGGCAACGAAACCGTGGAACTATAGGAGGCATTTGATATAGCCAAGGAAGCAACCGAATATGGTGTAGAGGTCATCGAAGCGGACGATGCCACCGATGATGAAGTTGGTAGAGAGGAGGATGTGGGTGCCATTGACGTTGATATATATGCTGCCGCAGCTGTTGATGTCGGTGGTGGGGGGAAACCACTGAGGTGCGAATTGGCAGCAACAGACGAACGTGGAAGGTAGGCGAGACTATCATTACTACTACTACTATTGTTACGCTCTTTAGACGGACTCTCACTTTGCGGTGAGATTCCTTTGTGGATCACAGATGCTGAAGATGTGGCCGCAGCCGTTGACACCGACGCAGAACTTGGCGGCTGGCTACTACTCTGAGTAGAGGGAGTTGTTGTGGGTGAGGCTCCTCGCAGAAGAGCTGAGTGGGGCGGTGGCAACATATGGGGCGGAAGTGGCGGCATATGTGGCGGTCCCAAATGAGGATGCGTAAGCATGTGTGGTGGCGGAGGTGGATGTAGTATCTGGGTTCCATCTCTACTGGACATTGATGGTGGTGGATTCAATCCACTGTTTATGGCGACCCCGCTGCCGCTTAGTGTGGCACTGAGCGGAGTTGAGGCAGATGTTGTTGTGGTTACACTTGCTATACTGTGACCCGGGTGGGAGGATATGGGAAGATGATGTGATAACACCGCCGACTGTGGATGAGAGAATGGGGGCGGAGGACCACCCAACATTTGTTGTGGCATAGGCAACGATCCAGCATATGGCAGATGCGGATGATGCAGCAAATGCGAGGGTATTGAGGATGGGGGCAGTCCCGCCGCCGCTGAACCATGGCTTAAGCTAGCTGTTGTTGGTGGTAATGAAGTGGGAGTTGAAACTGTTGTGGGTGTTGAGCTAGTGGGCGTGCTGGAGCCACTCGCACTATTGGAGGAGGCTTGTCCCGCTGCCGTCGATGATAATGCTGCTGCTGCTGACGATGATGCCGAATTGCTGCTTGACTGACTGACCGGCGTTGGCGGTCTTAAGCTGGTCGGTTTGGTCATTTGTGACATCATGGGAGATTCTCGACTTGTCCGTGGCGAGGCACTTGGCGATGGCACAGCAGGGGGCAGATAGTGACTGTGTGGCAGACCACTATAGGGAGCGTACAGTGGATAGTTGGGATAGGGCGGGCGATATGGCGATGCATGTAACAGCATTGGAGATAGGCCATTGGGAGGTATGCCACCGGGCAACATGCCAGGATGTCCCACACCAGGCGGTAAACCATGAGGCGGCAGAGCACCTGGACCAAAGATTCCAGCTGTCGTTTGCAAGGGTGGCAAACCACCAGCACTGTGTGGTGGAAACTTGGCCATGGAAGAGGCGGCTGTAGACGAGGGAGGAAGTGTTGAAGCTGAAGATGATGATGGCGGAGGTTGGGGTGCACCCGAGGATACGGCGGAGGAATGGGGTGAGGCAGACGTTGTTATGGGTAGAGACGACGCTTTACTCGTCATGGCTCCAGCAGATGAAGATGATGACGCGGACGACGATGAAGATTGCGAAGTTGGTGCACCGGATGGCGTTGCCGTCGGCGGCATTGCATTTGGATGTGGTGAGATCCTCGAGACACAACTGGCTTGTGATCCAGCAGCACTGTTAACAAATGGCGGCAGGTAACCGTTTATCATTGGGGTCGGCGGCGGACCTCCACTAACTGGGCCTTTGTCACGACCTTCGGGTGTTTCGTTGGGCTGCTTTAGCCCCAAATTCGACGCAGCATTGACATTGGAATGCAGTGATGAGGGTAGGAATGGATGTGTTGGTGGCGGCGGACCCAGCCGGCTGCTTATTGAACCCGATGCACTGAAGCCAACTGATGGGCTGCCGGGAATGTGTGGCGACCCACTTGCAGATGGTGGCAGTTGCATGTTCGCTGGTGAATTGGGCGCCACCCCAGACCCCGATGACTTGGGATGCATACCGGGTAATGGTGAGGCATTGGGTGGAGGTGGAGCGGGAGACATGAGATTACCAGGCGCAGCAGAGGGCGAACCAGCTAAATGTTTGGGTCCGAATGGACTATCACTGGAACCATGTTGTTGTTGGTGAGGTGATGGTACCGCCGCTGCTGATGATGAAGGAGAAGAAGATAGGGTATTCCGGGGATCATTGAGATGAACCGAAGATAGCTGTTGCTGCTGCTGCTGTTGTTGATTTACACCGGAAGCGTAATGCGCTGAATGTGGTGGTCCCAGGGCAGATTTACTATCCGCAGCAGTTGATGCAGGTGGCCCAAATACCGAATGTGAAGGAGGAGCTGCAGCACCTCCTGGACCAATGGCTCCACCCGTAGAGGGAGGTCGACCATCGTGTATACTGCCATGACCATGAGGACCACCCACCTGAGATAATGGCCCTCCAGGTAGCATACCACCACTACTACTTGTGGGTATTGGAAACGGTTGTTGTTGTTGGTGTTGGGGAGGTGCATGCTGGGAGGAAGAGTTCGGTTCATTGTTAGCGGGTAATTTTTGTTGCAATGACGATGCCGTGGCCACATGACCAACAGCAGATGTGTTGGAATTTGTGTTGGAACTGGTCGCAGATGTTGACGCCGAAGCCGCCGCCGCTGCTGCTGCAACAGGTGGCGTTGTTGTACTTGTCGCCTGTAGAGGATAATCTGAAGACTTTCGAGGTGTTGTAGGACTCGGAGTTGCATTTGTAATTTGTTGAGTGGGCGTCGAGGGAAATACAATGGCTCCTAACTTTTCAGGACCCTGTGAAAGAGAGAGAAAAGATTTCTTAGAAATATGCTCAACTAGAAATGATAAAAATAAACCGGTTTGTACGAAAGATCAAGAGTATCAGTTGTCCCTAAGGATATTTAAAAATAATAGTGTTTTTGTTTAAATTTTTTTTTTTTGAAAAAAGTCCCGATGTCTTTGAGGTTATTTGACCATAATCCCTTTTGAAATCTCACCTTTTGCCCTTTTGTTGTAATTGTTGATGCTGTTGCATTACCGGACGACAAACCTGACGACAGTAAAAGCAATTGCTGCTGTGCCGTTGTCGTGGTCGTTGTACTTGCCTTCGAAGAAGATTCAATAATTTTTGTTGTGGAGGATGATGCTGATGAGGACAAAGTGCCTGGGGCAACATTTCCAGTTTCTTTGCCAGACAATAAATTTGTTGCTGAAGCCGTTGAATTGTTTTTTGTTTTGTGGCTACCGGAGGAGGCATAAGTTGTTGCTGACTGGCGTTGTTTGGTTTTGTTTGATGTTTTGGTGGCGGCGGTGGTTGCTGTTGCAGATGAGGAGGAAGAAGATATGGCTGTTGTTTTACCAACAGCCGTTGTAGTTGTTGCAGTTGCCGTTGTAAGACGGCTACCAGCCGACGTCGAAGTGGAGGCCGACATCGAGGAGGAGTTGTTGTTGTTGTTGCTGCTGGTAGTAGATTGTGTTTGTGTTTTGCCAGTAGAATTCTTTGTGGAGATTGTTGTTGTTGCTGCTGTCGCTCCAACAACGACTGCGGCAACGGCTGTTTCAGCGGCAGCAGCTGCACAAACACCATCCTGTTGTTGTGCATTGCTACTGGAAGACTCAACACGTACAATAATCGCTATTTTGTTAACTTGTCTCTAATGTCGTTCCGTGTAAGTTTTCGATTTGTTTCGTTTTACACAGCAACAAATCGAAATGACACGGAATTTGCAACACCACCACACAAGGACGACGAGAAATGAAGCTACGAATTACCACAAAAATTATAACGTATTCCAACAAGCAGGAGTGAGGAGGAGTTTCTGGAACTAATGCCACTTTCAGTAGATAATAGCTTCTCTGGAGGATATTTTTAATATTCCAAACTATATAATTTATTTTTGCTCGTTTTTTTTACAATTTATGCTGCTTATTGTCAAATGTTTGTTTCTCTTTGTACTATCCCATTAATCTTGTTTTTCTTGTCACAAAAACGCTAACCGACAAGGGAAGAGAAATGGGTCATTGTTCTCATTTGAGTGCACGTAATCTTTATTTCACTTTTTATTGACACATTTTAAGCATTTTTTTAGAAAAATGCTGTGGTGTTTAATATTATTTTGTTTTCTGTTTTAATTTCCATATTTGTTGCTTTAAAAATATATTTTTTTCTTCTTTTTACTTAGCCGGGGGAATATAGTGGACTCTCTTGTTATGAATGGCCAGTTACTCTTATTAAGAGAACATTCAATTGTAGGTCTCTTTGAGTGTTAGGTTCATTTACATTTCTTTTCACAAGGAAATTGTTATTTATTTAATAAATATTTATTATTTTCACTTGTTTTTTCATTTCAAATTAAATTATTAGTTTTTATATTTTTAAATATAACAATGTTATTTTCTGTTCAGTTAATTTTCTCAGAGAGTTGATTTTGATCTCTGCTCTTAACTAAAAAATTACAAATTGAAAGGTGATTTGAAATTGTTTTATTTTCTTTATTTTTATTATTTTGGAAATCATACTATTGCCGTTGTCTTTTTGTGGCATGGAATTGTTGGTAGGATTTTTCACTCTTTTATATTTTATTTACCAAAATTATAATTTTACAGAATCTATGATCTACTGGGAAATAATGCCAGTAAATGCAAATTCAAGAGAACATATTTGTTCTCAAATTAGAAATAAAAAAAACATTTGTCACCTTATCGGAATGGTGATGGATGGATACGTTTTGGAGAAGCAGCCACGTCAATTGCATACAAATGAAAGTTGGAAATATCAAATGGCCATAGGAATGCCAGTCGTTGACAATTGCCCTGTACTAGTGGAATTAACAACAAGAACAACAATAGAATATTAAACACAGCTTGGAATCTAACGAAGCACGCAGGGTGAACACAAGACTGATTGGGTGCGGCCTAAATTTTTTTCGAGCAAAAAAATCGCCAATGCCTTAAAAGAGAGTATGCAAATTGCAATAATCCTGAACGAAACAATAGAGAGTTACCAGTACCAAAAGAGGGGTACACGTTTTGCGAGTTTTACATAAATTGGAATTCCGATTCTAAACCAATAAAAAATAGGACTTATAAAAATAATTTTGAATATTTTAGCCTTATTTGTCAATCCAACTGACTGTGCTCTTCTTTTTTTTTTTGGTCCTTTTCCCCTACTTATTAAATTAATTAAAATTCAACAACAGGCAAGTTATTTAAAAATTCTCTTAAGAATAACTTATTCATTATTTTGCCCATCCATGGAAAGATTGATGTTTCTCTTCGTTTTCTTCAAATGAGGCAATGATTGCCATAAGAATATTTGACAAAATAATATTGTTTAACATTGTTAATAAATATAATTGGTTTTTTTTTTTAGAATTTATGCTGTTTATTGTTAAAATGAATGTTTCTTTTAATTCACAATAACAATGCCCGGCAAGAGAAGAGAAATAGATCATTGTTCTCTTTTGAGTTGCACGTAATCTTTATTTCAAATATGACAATATTTTAATCATTTTTTAAAACAAATGTTGTGCTGTTTAATATTATTTTGCTTTCTGTTCTTAATTTCCATATTTGTTGCTTTAAAAAAATATATTTTTTTCTGGTTTTTACTTAGACAGAGACAGGAGTAGAGTGGACTCTCTTGTTATAATTGACCAATTACTCTTACTAAGAGAACTTTCAATTGCAAGTCTCTTTGTGTGTTAGGTTCATTTACGTTTCTTTTCAAAGGAAATTGTTATTTATTTAACAAATATTTATTATCTCCACTTGTTGCGTTGATTTCACTTCACATTTTTAGTTTTTATACAGTTTTTCTATTTTAAACATAAGCAACACGCTTATGTTTTATTTTTTTTAATTTGCTTTCAGAGAGTTGTTTATGATCTCTTCTAAATTTTAATTTGCTAATTTATAATGAAAAGAGACTTGGCGTCACTTTTAAAGTTGGGGAATGCTAATGACAGCATGCATAAGAGCAACACCCAGGAATATAAACATAGAACTAATTTATTATTACTCTTTAAATTTACTTTTCACCTTTATATTTTCTAAAAGCTAGACATTACGATGTAGCAAAGGAAAGTTATTCTCCTGCGGTTTAGAAAATTAAGTCATTAGCCACATACCAAACTGTGGCGCTCTGCCTCGCTTGCTCTATCCTTCTTTACTACTTTGCATTTAGGTATTTACAAAGTTAAGTAAGGTGTCATGTGTCAACAATGTCAAAGTAAAACTGCTGTCTTGCTGCCATCCCCCTCGAACAAAGTGTGAAGTTTTAAAACAATGGCAGCGTTAAACAACTCGTGCGATTCCTGGTCTTCCAATCCCCAAGGAATTTAGTGCAAATAAAGAAATGCCTTCCAGGCTATAGCGGTTGCTAAAACTTTTATTGGCCGTGGTGGTGGCGGCGGCGGCAGTGTTTTATTTCCATTTAAATATTCATTTGGCAGTGCAAAGAAATTCCCCTAGCGCCACTTAAATTTTGTTGTCACATTGCCCCCACCCCCACCTGGCTTCTTTCCACCGGTAAAAAGGCCGCATTTACTATCCTCTCCTCCCAATCATCCTCCAACTAGAAAAGACCAGAGCCAGTAAAAAAATTATTTCACCGTTGCAAATTCCCAATGTGGGATTTTTCATTGACCACACCTGGAAACACCAAAATGGGGGGATAATAAAAAAATGTGTGTGTGTGTGAGAGAGAGCGAGTGTGGGATACCATAAAATTGTTGTAAAATTGCCAAAGTAAGGTGGCTGCTTGGTTGGTTTGGTCAGGTTAAATTGCGGACTGCGTTAAAAACAATTTGTAAGGAAACTTTTTTGTCCAGTGGCGATTAGGAATAAAGTGAAATGAAAGAGAAAGAGGAGTGAGGAAAAAGGGAGAGTGGGAGACTTTATAGCCAACGTAAAAAAAACAAACTATTTTGTCCATGCAAACAAAAGCCTGCCTGAGTTAGTACAACACAACAATCGTTTAGTGTAGCCCAGCTAGAGTTTATTGTTGTTGCTTTGCCTTACAACGTAATTTGTATAGCATAAAATATGCCCACCCGACCGCCTGTAGCGTGTCTAGTCGCTCGTCAGTTAGCCAAACCATTCAGCCGTTGCAGCAACTCAATTCCTTTTTTGCTAGCCATTTGTTGTTGGGGGTCTTATGTTGTCTTATTTTATAAAGCTTTGAAAAAACCAAACACTTTTATGTTCATTCGTTTGTTGGGGCACACAATTTCAGTAGAAAGAGAAAGGAGAGGAGATATAAGAGGAGTAGAGGCAAAAAAAAAACAAAATCCATTTTCATTGCACACAGATCCTCAGTTTCATGCTCTCCTTCAAACAAATCCCCCCGATTTTTTGTTGCTAATGTTAGCTCGCTGCCTGCCTGGTCTTTGATGTCAATGTTTGTAAAATTTCTTTCTGTTTGTATTTTTAATAGTAGCAGCAGCTTTGTTGTTGTTGTTGCTGCTGTTGTTTCTATTGCTTTTTTGTGGTTCTTTTGGTTGCTCTTATGGTTGGTGTTCTGATGCCAACACACAGAGTAATTTTCTCAAACGACAAAGAGGAAAAACAAAAACAACAACGTAAAGCAGAAAAACGTCGTCGTCGCCGTATGAACATCGGCAAAAAAAATCCCCACTTAAGCTGTGTGGCGCGCATAGTAAAGCACTTAATTAGAGAAGCGATTACTTTACTACTTGAATGCTTAAGCCCGGTGTGAGTGAGTCTGTGTGTGTTGTACTTTGAATGCCATTGCCTTAAGAAAATGAGGGAGAAAGGTGGAGAAGGAGAATTAA